GTAACACCCTACACTCGATTGGGGTTAAGGTGACACAATGGGTTTTCGAGACAACCCCTAATTTTCAAAACCTTTTTGTTTTCTTTCCAAGCATTATTGAATGGTGTAATGATTAAAATATAAATAATTGTATTAAAACATTTTACAAAAACAGAGCTCCCTGTTACATAATTTTAAACAAAAATAATATACTATGAGTTTAATAAAATGAATAAATGTGTAAAGTTATATGAAAATGTATACCCACTAAGCTACAATACAATAATCTGAAGGAGATGCTGGAAGCCTTGCTATGACGGTGCTCTATGAATTACTCAAGCTACTAACCTGCCAACAGAAAACATTATATGGCTGAGCTTACAAAGCCCAATTGTATAATCGTTAGAGAAAATAACCTCAGTGACCAAAAATGCCTTATAATATTCGATTTTAACCAACTTTTTTTGGATTTGCCAAAATGACCAAATAAATCGCAATGCGATCGATAATTCGCAACGCGATCTCCGGTATCGCAAATCAGTTTCCATATTCGTAACGCGATTTTGACTATCACATTGCGATTTTCCAAATTCGCGTTGCGATTTTCCGACTATCGCAATGCGAATATGTAAATCGCAATGCGAGTATGACTATCGCAACGCGATTCTGACTATCGCAATGAGATTTTGACTATCGCAACACGATTCCGACTGTCGCAACGCGATGCTGACTATCGCAATGCGATTTTCAAAGCGCCATTATTATCGCAACGCGTATTTTTTTCAAATTCCAAACACGAATATTAATATATCGGAACACTGAACCGTCACAGTATATCTCGTAATCGCAACTCATAACCTAAAACCCTAAATCACAACTCAATCCCATCTCCATCTCTCACTCTCTAAGGCGACATCCGTCCCCATCTCCGACGAAATCAGTCCCCATCTCCCGCGAAATCCGTCTATCTCCATCTCATAGAGCCACCCTCACAATTATTCACGGTCAGAAATGGAAAATCAACCAAATCAACCACCGAGGGTTAGTTTTTTTAATTATTTTTATTTTGAAATTTTTGCATTATAATTAGGTTTTTCATATTGAAATTGATGATAAGTTTACTGGTAATTTCAATAATAGATTAACCATTTCATTTAGATTGCTTATTAAATTCATTCGATTGCTGCCAATACTGCAAAACTGTTTAGTCTTTAAACCCTGTGAATTTAGTATTTGTCTTTGTTTTGTCTTTTGGTTGAAGTAATGCAATTCATTCAAGTTTCAATTTTATTATTTGAAACCGAGAATCGCAACACGAAATGAAAATCGCAACGACAGAATCGCAATGCGATTTTAGTTTCGCGTTGCGATAGTCAAATTCGCGTTGCGATAGTCATTTTCGTGTTGCGATTTTCATTTTTCGTGTTGCGATTTTAAGTTTCAGAAACTATTCTTCTTCTGCAAATTGAAACTTGAATGAATTGCATTACTTCAACAAAAAAACAAAGACAAATACTAAATTCACAGTGTTGCAAATTTAAGTTTGAAGAATAAACTACTACTCTTTATGTTTATTGTTCTTGGTATATCTTCACAGTGTAGTTTTTGGTATATCTAACTTGGTATGTTTATTGTTTTTGTAGAACTTTTATTTGGCTCAATTGACCTTAAGAAATAAATTAAGCCTGGCCAAAACAATTGCGTCGAAGCTTTCACCTGCACAAAGAAAAATATTTGAGGATACTTGCTTCGGGCCATGGCTGAAAGTACAACATCCGGGTGGAGATGCTATGTTGACCCATCTGTTTCTTCAAACCATGACTAGCGATCTACCAAAGACTATACAACGTCGTGATGAAGAGATATGGTTTGATTTTCCACCGGCGTATACGTGTTTTGGGCGAGAGGAGTTTTGCTTAATCACCGGTCTATGATTCGGACACGATGATGTAGGTCGGTACACTAGACATATTACCCACCTATCATGGTTATCCCGGGTTTTTCCTGAGCTGTCAATGGAGAAGCCGAATTTACACGTGGAAGACTTGACGAGATTATTGGATAAGAAAGATGGTTTTACTCGGATGGATGACGTCGATGTTGTCCGAGTATGCCTTCTAATACTTTTGCATGTCGGCTTTTTAGGCAGAGAGGCCAAACAACCTATTCCTAATGATCTAATTAAATTGGTAGAGGACCTAAATGCATGGAACCTGTTTCCGTGGGGTTCGTATCTATGGAAAGCTACATGGAAGAAGTTGTCGTCTGCCTTTCATGATCGAAAAATTTTGCGTGGCGATGGTTCCAAATACACTTTGTCAGGCTTTATTTGGGCCTTTAAGGTAAGAATTTTTATATAATGTTTCCAAAATTATAATTAATTATTATTTAATAATTACTCATGTTTGTTATTATATTGTTTGTAGATTTGGATATTTGAGGCCTTTCCCGCCATGCAGACATATGCATTAAAAACTTCTAATGATATTCCTAGGGCTATTTCCTAGAAGAGGAAATGAACCTTGCATCAATGGGAAGATTTACTACCGTATACGACAATAAATAATGTAAGTTAACACAAATACTACCATATGTTTATAAATAAGTTATTACTAGTACACGTTTAACTTTGTTTGAGATTTTATATTGTTAGGAGTCCAACACTCCATTACAGAGGCTGACACCCACGGAAGCTGAGCTTGCCACTGATTGGTGGCAAGCTAGTAAGCGTTTTTTTGATGGCACGGATGATGAGCAACCTCCACTTCGAGAGCCATCATCTTACCCAGAGCCATCACCTGATCGACCCGACTATACACCTCCACAACGAGAGCCATCACCTATTCTGTTACATCATCGAGCCTCTTCTCCACCATCACCTCATGATAGGCGACCGGCAAAGATTCCACGACGTTTATCTCCCTGTTCTCCACCTCCACCTCCACGGGATGAGTTAGGGGAGTTACGTGATGAGGTCAATGCCTTGCGTGAGGAGGTCGGTACTTTACGCGATGACAATGGTGCATGGCGTGTTGAGGTGTCTACTTTACGTGGTGAGGTAGCCGCTCTACGTGAGATGGTAGCATCGTTACAAAATGAGGTTCATACTCTACGCAACGAGGTAAGTTTAATATTTTTCATATTTAACTTGATAAATTTACTCGTAATTTTACTTAGATTAACCATTTCACTTAGATTGCTTAGTAAATTCATTTTGTTGCTGCCAATAATGCTAAACTGTTTATTCTTTAACCCTGTGAAGTTAGTATTTGTTTTTGGTTGTCTTTTGGTTGAAGTAATGCAATCCATTCAAGTTTCAATTTGCAGAAGAAGAATAATTTACTTTCGCAACGCGAAAATGACTATCGTAACGCGAATTTAACTATCACAACGAAAGAATCGCAATGCGAAATGAAAATCACATTGCGATTCTCTCGTTGCGATAGTCATTTTCGCGTTGCGATAGTCATTCGTGTTGCGATTTTAAGTTTCAGATTCTATTCTTCTTCTTCAAATTGAAACTTGAATGAATTGCATTACTTTAACCAAAAGACAAAGACAAATACTAACTTCACAGTGTTAAAAATTTAAGTTTCAAGAATAAACTACTACTCTTTATGTTGTCATTAAACCTGCACTAAACCTATATGTTGTCCTTTTAAATGTTTATATAAGTGATTACTTCTGGAATGTTATCTGATGCATTTTGTGAACAATGATAGAATAATAACTTGGGTGAATATTGTGCAAGTCTGAAATATATTTGTCTTTGTTTTCACTGTTTAATATCATGTCTGTTTATTTACTGATTTATGTATTAATTTATTTTTAGCGGGCCGCTAAGGTGGATGCTCTACGTCGGGTTTTTCTTGCAAGACGGAGTTCACGCATCAGATGGCGTGCACGTGCCATTAAGTCTCCGTTCACCCCAATAGTGCGAAGAATCCATAAGAAAAAGCCCGACTCACCTGTCATCGTTCAAGAGGCCTCCCCTATCGTTCAAGATGTCCCTATGATCCCTCAAGAGTCTCCTCCCACCGTTTAAGAGGCCACTTTCATCGTTGAAGAGGTCCCTCCCAATATTCTAGAGCCCGATTGACACTACATAATATATCAAATTATTGAGAAACCCCCTCACATGCCGGACATGATGGATGACTGTTGGCTTTCATATAAGTTACCGGCCAGTACCATTCCGGCAGATGAAGTGGAGAGGAAACAACTACCGGAAACAATTCTGGATAATGCCCTTTGGGCTAAGACCGCAGTTGATTTTTATCTACATGAGCGGAGCCAAGCGTGTTACGTTGACATATACAAACTCAATGATGATATGCATTTGTTGATTAAACAGTCTTGGTGGGGTGTGTTATTAGGGGTTGAAGACAATGGCTATTTCGATGGGGGGTAAGTATTATATTTCTTCTTATATTTCATTTTGATTAATTTTTTTAAAATTTATGTAATTCACTAATATATGTCTTTTTTTATAAAACAGCATATTGATGCATGGGTGTCACGTCTTCTAATAGTAAGGAAATTGAAGAAAAAAATAAGCGATATACAATTATGCCGACGTCTTTTCACGTAGTTCACTTGAAGAATCAACGACAGGAATCATATGTGTTGGCTAATGGACAAGCTAAACTTTATCCTGCAAGGTGGGAGGTCGATAAGGTTAGTATTTATTTTTTTTAAATATTTTAAAGGTGTTCATAAATAAGTGCGCAATTTGAATTATTACTTATGATTGCAGGTGTTTATCCCTGTTTTAGAACGTACTCATTGGCTTCTCGTCGAGCTTCAGCTCCTATCCCTGAAGACAATAGTATATGACATCATGATAAATTACATATCATTGTCTGATTTGAGAGATATTATTAAGGGGTGGAGCTCTCATTTGGCTAAATTCTTGGATGCGATTAATTATTGGACTTATTCTGGAAACAAGAAGCCAAAGAAGTTCAATGTTATAGTTATCAGAGACGAGACCGCACCACAACAAACGTCGGAAGCCAGAGGGGATTGTGGTCCTCTCGTATGTATTTGCTTGGAGCGTTTAACGACAGGAAGTACACATTTTCTACCTCCCACCGATAGAGATAGAGGTGCAGTAGGCTTGTGGTTTCGACATTTTATGGCTAGAGCGATATATTTAAGACGCTGCCTACCTGCATCCGCGTTATGAAAGTGTCCATAAACAATTTTTAAGTCAAATGCAAGTGTTGTTAAGTACCTAGAATTCAATAATAATTTGCTGTTTGTTGGTTTTAGATGTGTAGAAAGTGTTATTTGAGCAAATGTTTGGTTTTTGCAGGTTAATCCTGAAGTGAGCTGCGTGAAATTGATGTATGGGTGCATAAACAACTGTATGGGGTACACTTTTTTTGATTGTTTAATTGATTCTTAAAAGTCGGATTTGTTTAATTGATGAGGAAAATAAGAATTATTATCATTTTTTGCTTGTTTAATTGATTTATAAAAATTGATTTGTAAAAGTTGATTTGTTTAATATTGATGTGTAAATAATTCTTATTTGTGCTTGTTTAATTGATTGAAATGTAAAAGTTGATTTGTTGATTTCAATCTGCATCATATTGAAGGCAAAAGACCTATTGGAGGTACACTTTCACAACGCTAAACTCAAAATCGCAATGCGAAAGACAAAATCGCAACGCGAAAGTCATTTGCGTTGCGATAGTCTAATACGCTTTGCGATTTTCTCATTGCGATAGTCAAATACCCGTTGCGATAATCAAATTCTCATTGCGATACTCAAATTTGCATTGTGATAGTCAAATTCGCGTTGCGATTTTCTTGTTGCGATAGTCAAATAGCCGTTGCGATAGTCAAATTCGCGTTGCGATAGACAAAAATGTTAAACGTTTACGCATAAAATACACATAATAGTCAAATTCGCGTTGCGATATTCAAATGAATGTGTAATAAGTGATAACAACTGAACAGATCATAGCAATGTTCAAACTCAAGTTACTAATACATGCCTAACTGAAAATGTTAAAAGTTTACACATAATACAACGTTTGCATTTAAAAATCACCTAAGTTAATAGTCCCAAAAGGTGAAGCTGGTTGTGATTGAGATTTTGATTTTGATTACGATTTTGATTGCCTTTTTCTTGACACCATATGAGCTTTGGATTTTGATGAGGATCCATATTTTGGTAGAGGAAAAGATGATTGTGATGGCACTGGTGATCCACATGTCAACCTTGTATGACCACTTTCCTTGCACAGACTACATGTCGATCTCTTCTTCTCTTCACCCTTAGACGGTATATGATCGTGACTTTTTGGGCGGCCAGGTAGCCTTCTGTCCATGGCTGGTGGCAAAGCTGTTTGTAAGTCATCTAGTATGTCCCACTCAGAAGGATGTGGAATAGGGTAGATAATCTCAGCATAAATATGTCGATATACTTCTGTAGTGTAGCAATCCATAGCGTATGCGCTTGAATCATCTTGGTTTAGATGAAGAGCAACTTTTATAACATGCCCACATGGATAACTAGATGTTTTCCATTTCATACAACTACATGTCTTTGCATTTAGATCAACAAGCTCATTTAAGTTATTATCCAGTACTTCAAACAAAGTGTTTGAACATGGTTCAACTCTCCATGACGTTGACTTCACAACACGTTTCGTTATCTTTTTTTCAGTCCATGGTGTAACACGATGTTCCAATGTTCCTGTAAATTTAAATAAATAATACTTAGTAAAATATATGATAAGTTACGAATTTAAAGAAATAATACCTGCATGGTTTCTTTTCTTGTAGTACCACTGTTGAATAGAGGCTCAAAAAAACTCTATTAACATAGTAATGGGTAATTTCTGGGAATGACGACTTAGAGCGTTGATTGATTCTGCACTATTAGACGTCATGAAGCCATATCTTGCTCCAAGTTGATGTACTCTTGACCATCTTTCAAACCCGACATCTTCTAGTGTTTGAGCACACTGAGGAAAAACACGTCTTAAACAATTTATATGCTTATTAAAATCCACTTCCCGATAAGCTTTTACAGCCTTCCAGTATGTCCATTTGTGAATTTTTATACTAGTAGACCTTGATTTTAGATTTCTATATAAATGAACACCACAAAGTCCATGAAAAACATATGGGAAACACCTTCTAATAGCGTTGTCAATTGAGTTTGCCCTATCAGATATGATTGTCAGATTGCTAATAGGACCTATGCAATCCCTAAGATGCCCCATAAACCATGTCCATGAATCAAAGGTTTCAGATTTGCCAACCCCATAAGCTATTGGCAGTATCCCATTATTAGCATCCATGGCTACTGCTAATAAGTTTACTCCAAGGTATCGACCTTTTAAATGTGCTCCGTCAACTATAATAACTGGGGCATGGAAGTAATAAACGAACGAATCTACAAAATCATATACACAAGAAATATAATCATTTAAATGTGAAATGCATGTAACTAATAAAAATGTGTCAACAAAAGTATATTGATTTACTAACCGCGGCACCAATGGCGATAAACAGCAACTCAAAGCGTCCATCTATATCTGTTTTGATATGAGTTACCGACCCAAGATTTTTCAGCTTTAAATTATGACAATAAGCCGACAGTTGGGCAAACGATGCTTCTGGTGACCCCCTCAACAATTCCAAGGCATAACATTTGGCTCTCCAAGCTTGAGAATATGAGATACTAATATTGAACCGAGCATTCATGTCAGTTATAATTTCATATCCCCGATATACCCTGCCATTCAAAAACATTAACTCAGCCAGAAAACCACCCAACACCTTTTTGTTTGTCTGTCTATGGTGAGGAAAAACTTGGGTTCTTGAACATGTATGTTTATCAATAAAAGTCCTAACTTGAAACATTTCGCAATCTTTTATCTTCTTTGCAATCATACGCCACGTACAGTTTTTGTCAATCATACACCTTGTTTCGAAACGATCTTTGCTTGATTTGTTAACTTTTAGTTGATAGCCATCTTCCACACATTTCGTATACAAAGCTATCTTCAAGTCTTCCTTTGTATCAAAACAATCATCTTTCTTAATACGAATAATTTTTGTGTAACAATCAACTGCTATTTTTACCAACTATTCTTCCGGTATCTGAAGTAATTCTGGCATATTCCAGTTATACTCCCGTGGCATTTTCTTCGGGGATTTTTTTTTCTTCTTTTTCTTCTTCAGGGTTATATGAATTACAGAATGGATGTTCAACATGTTCATTCACATTCGTAACTTCCTCCTCATTATCATCAACAACATCTTCCTCGGCAGCGACTGTTTCATCATCAAAATTAGGGTATTGATCAATATCAAAATCATTACACGCAGGGTCTGTTTCTTCTTCTGAAACATCATCAAAATCTGAGTATTGACCAAGATCAAAGTCCGGGTATTAACCAAGATCAAATTTTGAATACCGACTAGTACTCACAATTTTTTCTGTTGGCTCATCATCGTCTAACTGGTTAATACGAAAATCGGAATTTGGTGCTGAAAGTTGATTGGGATTTGGATTAGGGAAAGGTTGTGGGTTTTGAGATTGTGTTTGGTATTGGAAATGTGGTGAAACAAAATTTGCTTGGTGATGAAATTATGGTGGAACAATTAAATTTTGAGCACCATAAACTGGGGTTGAAAAACTTAGTTGATTACTACCCGCTACTGACCCAACTTCACTACTTCTAGGTTTAACAACATACAATGTAACATCATCTTGCGAAACACTAATGTAAGCAATGAATCGTTCAACATCTTCATTGTTGGTTAACAAATAAAACTTTACCTTTTCTCTGATAAGATAGCCTAAATCCACTTAAGGGCTCTAAATTCAATTTATTTGCAACACATAACATTAGAGTTTCATAAGTTAACTTTTTTAATAACAGTTTTAGTTGAAGATTCATGGGTAAAGGCATATATTGTAAAACACCATGAACATTCTCCCATGACCCTCCAAAACACAAATCTATCCAAACATGATCAACACTAGATGATTTCATTATTGTAAATTAATTTACTAAACAAACGAGCTACGAAACTAAAACCTGTTGCCGGATGGGGAAGGATGTCGTTGGATATAGGAACGGATGTCACCGGAGAGAGTGATAGATGGAGATGGAATGAGTTGCGATTTAGGGATTTAGGTTATGAGTTACTTCTACTGCGTAGTTATATACCCAAAACATTTGTGTTGCGAATTTGAAATTCAGTGTTGCGACAGTCAGAATCGAGTTGCGATAGTCATAATCGCATTGTGATTTACATATTCGCATTGCGATAGTCATAACCGCATTGCGATTTACATATTCGCATTGCGATAGTCATAATCGCATTGCGATTTATATATTCGCATTGCGATTTACATATTCGCATTGCGATTTACATATTCGCATTGCGATAGTCGAAAAATAGCAATGCAAATTTGGAAAATCGCAATGCGATAGTCAGAATCGCGTTGCGAATCTGGAAACTGATTTACGATACCGGAGATCGCGTTGCGAATTATCGATCGCATTGCGATTTAGTTGGTCATTTTGGCAAATCCAAAAAAAGTTGGTTAAAATCGTATATTATAAGGCATTTTTGGTCAGTGAGGTTATTTTCTCTAATCGTTAATCTAGAGCAGTATAAGAATTTCATAAATGCGAGCATGCTTGAAACATGATACTACGCAGTAGGTACATGCATGATCTAGATTCAGTGTTAGATACTTAAGGCTTAGTTATCCTATCTCTGAAGTAGGGGACCCATGCTTCCCTAAATCCTCTACTAACAGCTTAACCATGAGTACACCTCTAAAGGGTCACTAACCCTAATTAATGTATTTGATGTGCATTGTCTAAATACAATACTGACGTTCTTATGCATTATTAGAATGAAATACTAACTCTGTTGTGCATCATTTAAATGCACTACTAATTTTGCTATGCATTATCTGAATATAATACTAACTCTACTATGCATTATCTGAATACAATGTTGATACTACTATTGCAACACAAAAGTTATG